CGGATGCTTGTTTGTAGTCTTGCAACAACACACGTGAAGGCCAACGTTGTGATCGTTTGCACCCCAACATTGTACTGCATGATCAGCGAAAGGATGAGTTCTAGATCGTCGGTCTGCTGGAAGGACTGCATGAAGGTTCCAACAGCGCCACCAGAGCAGAAGAGGCGCTGTCAGATTGGTTTAGCACCAATAGTGGAGTGCGCCAAGGAGAGTTGCTTTCACTTCTGCTGTTCAGCATGCGGAGGACCGTCGTCCCCAGTAACATCGAGGTATTTGTTGTCAGACGACGATTCAGCCGAAGGTACTCAGAGCACTCACAGCAGATCTCGAGTGCGCTAACAACGCCTTACTAATGCGCAACTCCGTTAGTGGTTTATTGGCACCAACTCGAGAAGTGTTCAAGGTGGCATTGACAGTGGGTCTAGAAGTTAACCACATCAAAACGTAGGTCTTGCCACCACCCGACTAGACTAACGACCCAAAGATTCAACGGAGCGGAACTAGCATCGAGGAAGTAGAAAATTTAAAGAACATCGACTCTACATTGGAAAGAAATAAAAGATGCCATATGGAAGTAGAGCGGCGCTTATGGCTGACATTGTGAACTTCAGACGATTTTCTAAAGTGTAGCAAAACCGGACTATCTCGCCGCAACAATGATCATCATACTGAAAGCCGCCGAACGAAAAACGATGTCGGACACCTTTTAGAAGCACTGCCTGCGAAACGTTGTGAAAGTGTAACGGTAGAAAATTAATAAAATTGATTAAGATCTCTGAGACGGTTGGTCTGAGAATGATATCTGAATAAATCAGGCACAGGTGTCTACTGTGGCTTGAGAGAACCACCCGGAGAGAAAATGGAGTCTTATGCAAAACCATTCTCTTCTAGTAAGCCAAAAAATGGCCGCATTCGTACCGGAGTCTAACACTGCACCCTAAAGCAGCCGTTTGAGACTGACTGGCTTGCGTCGAAGAACATGACCATTGTCGCAGCAACCAACATCAACCCATAATTCATTCAGAAAATCCCAAGATTCAGGTATCATTAATCGGGTACTCTGTCCTTGACCCTGAAACCCCAGATAACGATGACGACAGCAATCTTGAGGAAGAAAACAGACGAAGGATCTCAAAATCATCCAAAAAAATGAGAAAAAAACAGCATGCTTAACCATGTGCCATCAAGAATCACGAAACTGATTGACTGCACATCAGCGCAATCCATATCGAAAAAGGCCATAGATTTACAGTGAACAAAGAAGCTATATTTACCCAGACTAAGAGATGTATTAATAGGGACAGTCACATTGACCTGAACAATATCTCGACGTCAGTTGTTACAAAATGCGTTCAACATTAATACATGCGCAGCTTGAAATCATGACCTCCATTGCAGACCAAACATTAACTTATCCGTTTAATCTTGTACATCTGTACATATCACTATACTTTTGTAGCGAGCCCAGTATATCTCAGAAAATTTGTGATTGTGGAATAAAATGTATGTGTGGAACTATCTCGTAAGGTAAAGAAAGACGACTTAAGCAATTTGTATCACACTATAAACTTGCTGGGTACAAGCATGGGATTAAACGTAAATTTTCTTTCATTAACTGCCTACTCCGTTTGGAAAAAAGTACAGGAAAGTCGCTACGACGTATTTGACAGTCAGCTAAAAGTCATCACAAGATATATGTGCAGATTAAAATTTTATGATGCAAACAGAATTAGAATTATACACTTGAGAGCCCTCCATAAGTTTCTGGTGAAGAACCGCATTTTTCTTTTAAGCTTGCTTTTGCATCTGTTGTGACTTTAGTAAGCTGCCTGGTGTGTCATTGCAAATCGCTGCTGGGGGGGGGCGTGCATGTATGAAACATCATCCATATGTCTCGC